CACTACATTTTGCTATAATCGGCCCCATTACGACATTATTGCTATCGAGCGACATAATCATTGTCGTTTTTCATTTTGTTGGTAAGTGGCTTGTTGCCGGCGCTACGTGCTGCTTAATGCTAATACATGAAGACGCAAAAGAGCTAATGAATATTAAAACTGTTTCTGATGATGGTTCAACTGGCACACAAAGATGTATCAATCAAGATTTTTCCTCCTGCATCTTTTACTCTTTGTGCACCTATTACACCACCACGTGCACTATCTGCCATATTTAGAAGCACATTGCTGAAGTTGAACACTATTTTTGTCTTGTCCTCTTGGAAACTTGCAACAGCAACTAATTGGCTTTTAACCCTCATCGACCCGACAAAAACGATCATTGCGAATTATTTTCCATCTAATTCTCTTACGATTGCATATGTAGACGCACCCCATTGTCGGCAATTGTCACAGGGAGGGGGCGAGTTATCAAAATGGGTGACTGACGACTTTGTGGGGGTGATTGCGGAATCCCCTCGATCATCGCAAGTGACGTCACCAATCCATCATGGCTTCCGAGGGGGTTGCGAACATGTAATTCGGATCAGTAATTTGATTAGGCTTCCATATTACTCAGGTCTTATTTATCCCATTAACTTTCGAATTTAATTTGGGGCAATAGGATCAGAAGGAGCATTTAAAATTCGTTCAAGTGCCTTGTGAGTGGAACAATCATTCATTCATTCACATATTTATGTGTGTGAATATTTATGTGCAACTGTATCTTCTATAGTTAATAAAAATGCAGGTTCACTTTTTCCACGGATGGATCTTCAAACTAACAATTCAAAACAATCGCAATTTTTGAAAATACAGGTAAATATTTAACTTGCATTCTGTTCTACAATTATGCTTTTGAAATGTTCAAGCTAAAAGTCCTGTTTTTCCATCATCATTAATGGCAAATACTCGAAACATATTGATCTTTAAATAAGTTCTGTATAGTTATTATTTCATTTATGGTGCTGACTCTGGCCGCAGATGTAAGAATCTGTATCAGTTAATGCAATTCTGCGAAGTCTGGGACATCTTGTAGCTTTACACACGATTTGTAAATATTTACTTATGAATGAGAGAGAACTATATAGTTTATGGTTCAAAAGGAAAAAACAATACCAACTTTTGCTATTGCTTTAGTTGAATAAATGATATTTAACAGTAAACTGTAATAACTGAAGATGAGATAAGTGGATTTATTTCAGATTACCACACGACATTATCCAAAGATTGCTGATTTCTGTTCGATGTTTTCCATTTCCGAATAAATCAGTCGGTAATTTGTCGGGTGCGATGTTGAACATTTTCGACGAAGTCTAAACCGAACGTACCAGAGATTCTAGATAGGAGAAATTGTACAAACGGTGGGGTTTTCGTATTAGCATATTTCGTTTTGATCATATCGGTGGCGTCTAAACCGGAATATTTTTCGGCTCTGCCAGTTACTTGACGAATCTAAAGTTAAATAACATGTAAGTAAGTTTCAAATGGGTTAAACGTGTTTCACACAGCGAAAATAGTAATTTGCTGTTTTACGGAATAAAAAAGGGGAAATTATGAGCTCAGTCGCTTGCACCACAAGAATTTCTTGGCCTTGTACCAACTAAAACAAAAAATTCAGCCATATTTCTTCCAATTAGCGTTCGAGAGCCGACATTAACGATAAATTATTTTTTTGTCGTAATTTAGTTTCTTACCGTAGCTATTAATCAAAAGCTACATGCTGTGAATTAAACACCAGGAAATGCTTCGGTGTTCACAAGTTAACAACATAGTTGCTACCTGCTTAATCTTAAACTGAGCCCCTAACTGCAGACTTCTGACAATTTTTTTTTGGTTTTATTCAACCGATACCAAATTAAGTCCATTTTTTCCGAACAAAAACTATCGCTTCTGTCCAATTTACCTGCACACCATAATTCAAGGCAGCAGGTGAAGAAAATACTTGTTTGCACATGCCCACTCACAGTCTCAAGCGGAATTTAATGATCACCATTGCAGCCATTCTCGAATATTAACTATCAGCAATTAAAAGTAATAAATTAAAATGAAAACATCATAAACATAAATAATGATACATGTGACGGCCATTAATTTCGGAAATTACTGGAAAGTTGATGCCATTTATAAATCACAAGGAAAATTGGCAGCTATTAAAGGCCAATAAAAACCACTTTTTCAAGCCCTCAGCCGCCTGAAACTAAATCGATTTTAATTTCTATCGTAAAATTCACCAAAAACGGCTATTAATTATCTCAAAATTGAATTTCGGATACAACCCGAAAACAGACCCGAATGCCACCTTAATGGGATTTTAATAAATTCTCGTCGCTTATTTTACCGAGTTTTTGCAACACCGAGAAATCGGCTTAAGATATTTTACAAAATAGTTTGCCAACGGTGAGTGACGCCACCAAGATAAAAACCGTAAGTGATGAAACATTGCTTAGTAATTCTTTGAAAACTTAGCTCTTAATCAAGTCAGCCACCTTATTTAAAGTATATATTGATTCTAAAAATTGAGTGTATTAAATCAGAAATATAAAAATGGAAGCTACACGCATTTTCGAATGATCTACAATAATAACAATTTTATCTAATAATTTTAGGGAGTAATTAGTAAGTTGCCAAATAGATATAAAGTTGATAGAACTTTTTCTCAGTTACGGAGAAGATTTTGTACTCAAATACTGTTTAGTGGTATTGGTTAACTGGGTTGCGTCGACTACTCTCGCAAGTTAAAAAAAAAGTTTTGTATCTGTACTGTGTAATTTAATGCATTTCGAGTGAAATGGGAGAGGAAATGGAAGTTGCAACAAAATATGATGTGAAATATCTAAAAAAATAGAAAAACGAAAATTTGATAAAACCACTCCAACAAATCTACACACAAATTATCAAACCTTGAAGGCTTTCACGACCGGTAAAGTTATATTCAGAAATATTTTCCGATCTTTGAAACTGTAGATGTGAACAAAACGTAAAAAAAAATGTCTCTGCTGTAATGCAGCGTTCTAGTAAGTAATGCAGTTCAGTCAAAAAAAAACTTCAGATGTTTAGAAATATTTCAATAACATTAATAAATTAATCTCTAAGGTAACATAAACAATGAAAAATTCAACAAGACGCTGAAAAACCTAGCTAAGAAATTCTCATAAAAAGTATAAGAATTTAATACGTATTATCGAAACTTTCCTTAGACCGCTGATCACTACCTACATCTTTTTATGGGATTCGTAATCCTGTTAGGCCGGTTTTTCTATAAATTCCAATTCCAAAGGCTTCTTCTGAACATAGAGATACACGGAACCGTCACCGTCAATTTTTTCGAACCACACCTGCCTCGATATATCAACCCTTTAGAAAAATAGCCGATAGGCGGGTGCCGCTGGACTGACCGCTCACCAGACTTAAGCCTGATTTATTCTCGAGGTTTCCAACTTAGAATGCGTGGAGTATTTGTGCATCCGAATCGACGTGGGAAATAATAATTAAATGCATCCGTAGCTTGGGTTCGGTATGAAAAGTAGCTCATTATTTAATCATAGTGGATGTCTACTGGTGTAGGTAAGGATATCAGATCAGAGTGAAAATGGTCGGTATAATTTACATGTTTTGTGAATCTGAATCTGGCCGATCATTCGAAGAAATGCTAAACAGTGTCGGATTAAATGGGAAAAAACTGATAGGGTTGCACAAACTTGTACATCTGGGAATTGCTGTTGAATGACATTATGTGAAATAATGTATGTTGCAAATTTAACTGTGGGAAAATTTGTTCCCGGTTTGCAAGTTAATCTAGGATGTGCAAGTAGAAATTGGGATCATTTCAAGCTGATAGCCTTAGGCAAATATATAATATGTTTATAGAAATAACATGCTAGACTTCAAGATAAACTCAAATTTTATTCAATGTGGCGATAACAATTTCAAGTGAATTCTAACACAAGTGATATGTGTTTCAAAGAGTGAACCAGTCCTTTAAACTTAATATTATAGAGACTGCTACTAAAATAAATGATCAATTTAGAAAAACTTTTGTTTAATTGAGTTTTGCATGGGAAACGTGCCAATATGTTTATAAAAACATAGCATATATCTAATACTTAATAGAATAACAAGCCGTTCAAGTGCTAAGTAGGTATCAAGTTTTGATAAAGTTCAAAAACAAACCAGAAACACGTTTTCGAAAAATGAGATAACCTTTGTCGGTTCATTCGTTCATTAATCTGCTTTAAGATTTTCACGTACGGTATAATTTCATCAATTATTTAATTATTGATATAATTCCTTATTTACAGACAGTACATTTCGCTACAATGTAATTGATATCAACTGCAAAACGCGTTTTTCTCATTAACACTACGTTAATACTTGTTTCTTTATGTAAATCAGCAAAGGCTAAGATAAAAACGGTATCTATTAATTTACTGGTGAAATCTCCAATTCGTCACTCTCATCAGTTTCGCACAATTCATTTCAACAAGTTTGCAATTGAATTCATACATACATACATACATACATACATAATAAAATAATATGGTGTCATAGGGACTTAGCACATTAGTACGGAGTGCGTCTTCAGACATCACTTTTTCGAAACCCTTATTCTCAATAGAATCTACATCCCCAAAAGTAACAAAACAGTGATTCCGCGCGTCTCCTATTTAGAAGATTTGAGCGATTTTATCATACACTGTTCGGAAACGGATTTTGTTTTTAAATAGTACAGGGTGATACAGTGTGTGTGTAAGTGGCGTCAACTGTATTTAAGGCTGTAAGTTAAAAATATGATTTTTAAAATTATTGCCATGATTTATTTAAAAATACTAATTATTAATTTCTATTTTGAAGTAGTTGAATGGTCACTTGCAAACTATTAGTATAGCAAAACATTTTTTATATAAAACATAACAAAATTTGCTTAAATTTGGTCAAATATTCTATTTGAACCACATTTTAATTTTATAAATTTTGAATCAAATTGTAATTTCCAGCAGCTACCAACCAACCGTTCATTAGGAAAAATCGAAAAATTATTACATCTATTGATTTGATTTTCTCTAGTATTTCAGGGGAGAAGCCTCGACAGTAACGCATTTGGCTACGAAAAATGTATGGCATACCTAGTCGTTGATTTACTGGCATTAAATATGCATTCTCACGAACCCTTTCTATATTTTGATGCAAAATGAGCGTCGGAATCTATAGCAGATTATTGCCCAAACTAACCGCCCGGTCGGCTGGTTAAGAATAAAAAACACCCGTTATTTTATCATAATTTTCGAATATATCACGCTTTGGGTATTATGTGCCGCGATGAAAAATTGATAAAATTTCGACGAAGGTATTGAACAAGAAGGGACGCACCGGGAGCCCTATGGGAAAAATTTGAATACGGTCTGCAAGGGGTGCGTTTGCTTGCATTAATTTACCCTTGGCATAATAACCGGCACAAAAGGGTTAAGAAAATGTGTGTATGCGGGCTACAGGTCGGGGCCATGTGAAGGAATTGATCCAGCTCTATTACCGCAGGATCGATAGTTTATTTACCAAATAGCTGACAAGGGTTGAAAATTTTCTGTTCAGCTCTAGATATTCAAATTACGAATCAAATATATCCGCAAACCCATTTTTTATATTGACTATTGCTTATCCATAGCCAATATCTATTGATTAGCGGTTTCATCTTGCACATTTGCGTGCTCCAAGTCTCCACTGTTCCAAACCAACGGTTTCCTTCAACATTGTAACGGCCTGTAACACTTTCGTTGGCGAAATTCAAGTCATCGTGATTTGACGAAAGCCAGGCTTCATTACAGGGAACACTGATGGCTTTGATTGTTCAGTGTGCACAAAGACAACCGGTTGGAAATAGGTAAATTTGTTTTATACGACTTTTTTCTTGCATTGTCAACAATGACTAGACAAAATGCTGACTGCGATTGTAGATTTGCATCTCCAACAACAGTCTTTCATATGATGGTTTGTTCGGTTTAATGTGAACGTTTGACGCTTGAAACGTGAGTTAGGTAATGGTGCAGGAATGTGCTATAAAACATTCGTGATAAGCTGCAGAACGTGAGCATGTTGATGAATGACCAGCGAAATGCAGACACATTAAAGGAAATTATGATTCTAATAAGTAACGATTCGAAATCTATATGGCTTTCAGGTCAAAATTGGAATGCTAAAAATGAAGATTTGATACAACTATAATGTCTATTATGTTGGGCATTTGGTAACTGACCTCAAAACTATAATTGCTTCAGCGTCCAAGATTTGTTTGAAAACTATTTAATTTGTAAAAACCAACTAAATAGCATGGTTTACTCAATCAAATAGTTGAACTTTAAAATGTGAAACTAATCAATCCAAAAGTGAACAGTTTTTCCATTTTTACCAGTTTTACCATACCTATGTGGGTACTGTGTAGATCGAAATGTTTTAGATAAAGCCGAAACCCCGATTTTCGATTGAGATTTCAGATGCAGTTTGATGGTACCTTATTTGCTTAAACCTTTGTGAACCGATAAAGAGTTATTGGAACCGAGAAGCTAAAGTGGCAAATGCTCTTTAGGTTCCCGTAAATATTTATATTGGGCTAGTGTTCAAAATATATACAACTCCTTTAATATATCAAGGATAATACAGATTTGCTTAATGGAAGACGCATGATGCCTGCAAGTGCGTCTATTTTCCAAACTTGGACCAACAAAATTTAATAACAGAATTAATTGCCCCATTTTTAAATGCCATTTATTGCTAACAGTCTTCTAGTTTTATTAGTTTGCTATCAGGGAAACTTTGCCTTATTCTGGTTAATCGAATGCCCCCAAATAGTTATTCGAAAATGTATTTTCTCGATTTAAATATAATTTGTTCATTTCGGTAGTTTTTGATATAATTCAACTATATCGAACATGCAAACTGTTAAATTATAATTTTTATTTATTTAGAGACGATTTGATAATTCCATTCTTTTTAGCTGTGTTAAATATTTTTTGAGATTTTCGCTTAGTTCTCGATATGCCTGTCAATATCCAGATTTTCTAAGTAGTTATCCAGGCAGTATTTTATTCAGAATTTCCATATAATTATTATTCAATATCCAATTTTCAATGAATTCAGTGTAATTATTTATACCCCGCTACCGAAAACTCAAAATGAACATTCCTGCTTACCATGTTAACGGTGCTCGATGAATGTCCGCTTTGTCCACGTATATTTTCTGAAACAAACAAACAGTTTCAGTAAAAAAACCGTGCCCATTTTAATCTACTAAAAAGGGTCTGATGTATTTCCGACGATATTAAAAGTAATTAATTCAAACTAATTGGAGCCATTTCAAAGTACGAATTAATACACCAAAAAAAAAATCGGCCGGGCATTAATTCGCATTAACAACCTTAAACATAATCGTTTACACGACTTTAAATGATATTTTTTGTCCGATAGACTTAATTTGAGTTCGCAGTTGGGGAGCCCTAAATTAAAAGGTTCCCCTCTGTTTTGTCGTTGGCAATTTGCAATTTAGACTGGAAATTAGGTAAATGACCCGATATCTCTACAATTTGAACCACTGCATGAGGTCTGCGAATTAGTGAGCCGTCCTTGTCTGGAGGTCGAATACAAAACGCCGAAATGCTCCCAAAAGTATTTTGTTTCAATAGAAACCCTGCTGACATAGTCACGGCATTTGCATGTTACTGAAGAGAAAGAAACGGTGGGGCGAGCTCTATACCTTCATATAGAAGAAGGAAATTTGATAATATTCAAAGATTAACACTGAATTGATTTGAAGGCACTAAAGTGTCGAACGAATATACTGGGTGTCAATTTGAAAATGTTCCACCCTTAATATCTTTCATGCAGTTTAAAATATGAAAAATCGGAAAGAGCCGTAAATTTTATTTTTAAGGGGGACACTGAATGAATATTTTTAGTTTCCTCATTTCAACCCCCTAGGACGGGTGAATGTCACCAATAGAATCTTAAACAGGAAGGGGGGTCAACTAAGTGGCACATTAATTTAAAGGGCGTTCAATTCTCTTTACATTAGTAACTACTTTGTTGCTTTTTGTTCAGAGATTTTCGAACAATCGCGTTTCAAAGTTACAGAAACAATTAAACTTTCCCGCTTTGCGATGTTGGTTTTCAGATTAGTGTCTAAACAAAACTTATGTCATTGGGTCTCCTTATAGTACAAATGCTTAGAAGATTCGGTTACACCGTTGAAATCGTGGAAAAACAGCAAGAAAATCTAGTTGAAACAATTGATTTCGGATTTATTGAGTATTTCACTTCGATAAAAATCACTTTTTATTTAGGGAAGAGAAATTTCTACTATAAAACCCATGATATCTACTTACGCATCTTAAAAGTTGTTCAAAATGTTGTCTATTTTCTTGTGAACAATAATAAAGTCTATTTTAGAACCTTCCGTAACATTGATATTGATTGATTCCCGGATAGATCGATTGGCAGATGGGGACTAATTGAATGGCCTCCAAGATCGCCGGATTGAACACCCTTAGATTTCTTTCTTTGGGGACACCTAAGTACATTGTTTATAACACAACCTGCCGATATTAATGATCTTAGACGGCGAATTGCAGCAGAATGCCGGTCAATTACCGGTGAAGTTTTCCGAAATGTTGGGAAAGAGTTAAAAAACAGATCTTTACATCGTTACAGGAAAATTGACAACACTTGAACAACTTATAAGATAGTGCGTAAGTAGATGACATAGTTTCATTGTAGAAATTTCTCTTCCGCAAATAAAAAGTTATTTTTGTCGATGTAAAATAATCAATAAATAAGAAATAAGATCAAAATAAAAAACAAGAAATAAATGTTTAAACTAGATTTTCTTCCTGTAATTAAACGATTTTAACAGTGTAACCTACTCTTCTAATCATTTGTATTACAAGGAGACCCAATACAATTGTTTTTGTGTAAACACTAACTTGAAAACCAATATCTGAATGCACGCAAGTTTAATTGTTTCTACAACTTTGAAACGCGATTATTCGGAAACCTCTGGACAAAAAGCAACAAAGTAATAACTAATGTAAAGAGAATTGAACGCCCTTTAAAACGATGTGCCACTTAACCCCCCTTCCCATTTGAGATTCTAAGGGTGACATATACCCGTCCTAGGGGGTTGAAACAAGGGGGCCAAAAATATTAATTTAAAGTCTCCCCTTTACAAATAAACTTAACGGGTTTTCCCGATTTTTCATATTTTCAACTGCAAGAAAGATCTTAAGGGTATGAAGTTTTCAAATTGACACCCCGTATATGTTTGACTGTCGCGTTATTAAATGCATTTTAAACAATGATTGACACACCATCGAGTTTTGATGGTTGAAAGAGCAGTTGAAAAATATTATTAAACGCATAAAAACACAAATGGAAGATTAAATTGGCGCATTTGTTAATAGGAAATGAACTTCTGGCCCACTTCGTCTTCCTTATGCAGATCGTATGAATTTCCGTTCTTCCATAACTATATACTATAGAAACGGTACCTATCATGCAAACGTCATGCTTTCTTTATTAAATTGCTTCAAGCAACCAAGCCAATTCTTAAAACCCATTGTTGATTATTATCGAGTTGGCAAGCTAATTGATTGCAAATTTATATTGTTTTCCTTTATAGAGTAGCCAGTTAGACAATTAATCATAATCAAGTTTTTACGGCCATAAATTACACGGCTTCACATCTAACGTGCCATTTTTCTACAATATTAAACCCAGATATCCACTGCAAGACAAGCGCGAATACTTTCCAATTTCTTAATATCCTTGAGTACTATAACTTATAATTTATCCACCACACCTTTTCTAGCCGACCAAGCTAAGAACACATATCATTTTACAAAAACCCATAATTCTGACCGTGTTGCAAAACATTACGCGAGCCAAACCGTTGAAAACATTTTAGAACAATGTACGCGTGATTCCGCGGTGAAAGAACAATAATACATAAGGCTAGGAGGACTTGACAATCGGTTTGAAGTGGTGATGTCATAATAACTTCCGAAACAATGGACATTACAAAAGAGGGCTAGCCGACATTGCAAAAACAATGCTAGAACCGACCTAGAGGCAAGTCAATAAGCATTGACAAAGTAAACTGGGGAACATGAATAGCAGTATTGAAAATCATGATCTCCCGAACACTGAACAGAAAATCATGCACAGAAAATACGAAACAACTCGCTTAGTCCATTGAGGACATCGAGTATATTTGCAATGTTTATCGATGAACATCCAAGCAAAAAATGATAATAGTGATTCATTGAGCGTGTGAAAAACCATCGATTAAAAGTGTCGTTAGTGTGTAATATTGGATTAAGTTTGCAAAAAAGCACAACTTATTAAGGTAAAATGTTTGAGCCACAAAGTGTAACGACTACAAAGTTTTTGGCCGTGAAGTACCGATCGTTTTCATGAAGACCTGTTTATTCTTCTAAAACTTAGCTAAAAGTATCATTGAAATCGGAGAATCTTGGATGGTGAAGCTGCTGAAAACTGAACAGTTTCAATGTTCATAGAAAAAATATACCGCTGCCAGCACTTACGTTCAATTTTCTAAGAATATGCCATAAACAAAATTACATTTTTTTCTGAATTCCCTGAACTGAACTGGCTGATTTTAAGTTCAAGGTGAATATCAAGATAATTGCAATCGGACTCAAATGCACGATCTTTTGACCATTGGACTCATGCACAGCGAGTCACATTTCATGCATTTTCTCATGAAAAAAATTAGTTTAGCTTCTACTTACTTATATGACACCTAAAGTAACACCTGCATTAAAAATGTAATCATAACTGTTTTGTTTCCTGGTTCTCATATTTTTTCCCAATCAAGCCGAAAACAAATACTTTCGGCATATGCGTTTGATGTTTAAATTAATTCATACTTATCTATGACTTTTGTAGTTAATAACGTGCTCACGCCGACTTGCTTGAAACAAGCAAACAAAAAAAATTGGCGTCCTATCCTCATAGGCACACATTGAGATCGTTTGAAACCATCAGTTGTTACAGAACAGCATAGGACAGCACACGGAGAAAATGATCAATGGGGCAAAATTAAAAATAACAAAAATAACCAAAGGATTATGAGCGTGGTGAAGTACCAGGAAGACCAAGATATGAATACCGGCCACATGTTGATGAAGATAATTACGTGAAGTAAGCTCAAGTATAAAGCAGCCCCGGCAAGTACAACAATAGCAAAACACTTTAAGTTGATTGGGATATAGACAGCTTATAAAATACTAAAAGCATTATGTGATCAACAATTATTTCTTCTAACTTATTACGCTTGGTCGTGTTATTTATTTCTCCTCGAGGTGCGAGCACATCTGTAATATTATTTCCTTGGCTTTCATTATGTTTGAATAATGACTCGGGTTCACTAGCAACATTTATTAAAGTAATAATTAGATACCGATATATACTGTTCCTTTATCTTTATTTAATTGGTTTTTATGAAACTTTCAACTGTTGCACGCAACGTTCGACCTCACAGTATACGTAATAGAACATTATTTATAAAAGCGAAAATAATTATGGACTAATTATTTGTTAATTGCTGTTGAATTTTAAGAGCGGTTACTAGCGCGGTTCAAGTGTGGTTCAAGGATTGTTGAAAACACACTTCTAGATCTATTTACTGAAACGATTTTATGCTGTTTGTTACCTACGACGTGTGTGGGACCCAAACCTTCTAAAACCGCCTCTCCCTATGGTAAAACTAAATATTTAAAATTAACATATGGCGATTCCAAAACCTGCTCCAAAGCGAGTCTCATTTTAACATTATTACTATAATAAATATTTTTTATTTGCGTACTTGCCATACAAGGCGCTGGTTTATGGCGTTAGTGTTTAGGTTTTAATAAGTTAAACTGTTCACACGTGTTTAACATATTTTTAGACACACCAAAGCATACACAAAACGTTTCAGACTTATCGCGCTCCAGTCAGATTTACTGGGGTCTAAGTTTAATATTTAATGAACGCACATGAGGAATAAATCAGTGGTTTTTTCAACCAAAGTCTGGCTTGGACGAGTGTTCATTAGTTAAAAAACTCCATAAGCGAATACCTAAACATATCGAACAAGGGTGTAAAATATACCGACAAAAAACTATTTAATGTGCATAGTCCGGAAATGGTGCGACTAACACTTATCGAGTTAGTTCTACAGCAAAAATGATTATGAGAAGTTTCTAGAACACTTTTTCGAAAACCCGGGTTTTTGATTTTTTAAATTTTGTTTGTGAACCGATTATATATTTTAAAATTTGGAACACTTACTACTGACTTTAAAACGTTGGAAAACATTTTTATGCGTTATTACTCACACCGTACAAGACAATTTTAAGAAGAAGAGATAAATGTGGCAAGTCAAACTATGTACGCAATTTTGAGTGCTCTTTAATTTTTTGAGAGGGTTATTGAGTAGACGAACAGCAATTGGGTTCAGTTCACACCCTTATCTTCTTAAAATTGAGCATTAGTGCCCTGTATTATTACGTTGTTATTGAGTTTTAGAAGCTAGTGGTGACCGTACCATTTGCAGACATCCTGTATACGTGCAACCGCTACAACCGTACAAAAGAGGGGACACAAATAAATTTTCACAACTTTAGCTTAAAGTTGAAAGTCTTAAAACCTAAAGAAACCTGAGAGGTTGAAACACTGTTGAATGCGCGTTGACTGATTAAAAAGGAAAAAACCTATTCTGGCAAATAATTAGTACCTATCACACGCAGATGATAGATCTGTTATTTGAAACAGATTTCCTACAAACACCCTAATCTACAACCATAATTTTCAGCGGCCACATTAAAAAGTATATTTAATGAAGGGGGCAAAAACCCAAAAATTCCTTAATAAATTAACATGCCTGCCAGATGTTCTTGTACCTACCCTGAGATATAAAATTAATTATACCCTTTGGATTGGGGGGGTGATAAAAACCTGGCCGGATTTTATAAATCTACCTGTTCAGGTCCCACAGTGCTTTGGGCAGAGATTTATTTTAAAGTTGTCGTTAAATCTTCGGTAAAAAAACCTGTAGACACAAAGTTGAATAGAAATTCGGAGCCATATTAGTTACAGTGAATGTTTTGCATACAGTGCAGTCGCAGTGCAAATTATAGTCATAAATTTATTTATAACATAATGGCTGCAATCTGAAGACCAAACCAGATTGAACCGACAGCTATTTATAAGCGTGACTCGATCTATCGTATTTTCGTCATGATTAAACCGATGCCAAAGTCAAACCGTCGTCATTTTTTACAAGCAGATGCATTTCCTTGGGATCGTCCTCAAGGATGTTTCCTTAGATATTTATTATGCGACTTCTAGGAAAATGTCAAATTAAGCGGACAGCTGTGCATTATGCTTGCCAAAAATAATGCTCAGATGCGTCAGGGACAATTGCAATGAATAAATTGGCTTCAAAGCATCGCTTAGAATTTTTGGCCGCATGGCAGTTGCTTTAAGTGGTTCTATTCATAATTTCGGAATTGACTCCTATCAAAAAGTTCTTAGGTAGTCCCTTCCAGACCATCCCTAATGATATGCGAAGACCCTACGAGTTTGTGCCTAAATAGTCAATAGTTAATAATCTTGAACAATTTTTATCTCATAAACATTCTTTTATCAGTTTTGCCAAATGCGAATGCAAAAATAGTTTTCTTATTGCTATTCAACTTTATTTAAACCAAGAGGTTAAAAATACTTCAAAATCAGTCGCTATGTAATAATGCCAGGACGAATATTGTAAGTTGTTTAACACTAGTTGGAAACTGTCAGCTAAAAATATCGAAAGATCGACATGATGGCTAAAAGAATAACCCAGAATATTTGAAAGTTTTCCAATTTCGGATCTATACTATTCTATATATTTTTCTAATCTTTTAATTGTCTTATCAAAATTTTATTGACTGAGCGAAACCAAGCAGCTAAAAATTATATGTCCGAACCTTAGCAGCTTTCCAAGTGTACCATATCTTTATACATATTTCCTATTCTAGATAATGAAAACATTCTATAATAATTTCGGTTTATAGTGTTTTGAGGGCAATTGGTTTGGATGAGAGTTTAATTTTGAAACCCCTAAAATATTTTTTTAATATCGGTGGCTAATTAAAGGTCTCATTTCTACAATGCGAATATATCAGCTACAAAAGAACTCAACTGTAGACATTCCTCATGTTCGAGAACTATTATACATTGACGGTTTCATTTATTTTTAAATTGATAACAACTGCTTCTCGTTGCGTTTAACATTGTGACATTCGTTACTGTAATTATAAATTTTAAAAAACCCTCAGTTTCTTTCTGGATTAATTCAATCAGCCGTTAGCTTGATAATTAGGAGTAAAAAATTGATTAGCATCAGCAAATGAAAGTACTAAAGAACCATGGATAAATGAAAACAGAAAATGCCCCTGAGAACTATTTAGCAAATATTTAGTCACTCGATTATGATCGAAATGTGTGTGGTACTCACCAATATGATGAAACATTGCGTCAAATTCATCTGAAAAAGAAAAGTCAGTTAGTTACTGTTAAAACATAAAAATCTCATTACTAAAATCGGTTTAAAAACCAGCATAGTGAATTCCACAATAATTTAATAGTTTGCTCAGAACGCTCCAGACTCAGCATATCGATTATTGGATATTTGTAATATTATTAGCGGCTGAAGATGCAAAGGTTGTCCGAGTCCAAAAGCCATTACTTATCAAGACTTATCAAGTTGCCGACCAGCATAGAAGGTTACCTTGAATTGTCACACAGTCGAAATTTGCATTTAATGCATAATTAATCTGTTTGCTGCTAAAAACCACACAAAAGTTTACCAAGTTTGCAAAGTGACTCAGGCTGTTTTAATATTGAAAGGGTTTAATGCATGTATTATGTTGCCGTGTAGACTGTTATGCAGCTAATTGAAATCGACACTAAAGTTTATATGGTTTCAATTTGCATGCTATTTAATTGTTCGAAATACTTTGTATTTTATTTGAATTCATTGACTCAATTAGGACACAGTGAATTCAGTCTCTATTTGCACCTGATAAACGTAAGTGCTCCTCCTCTTCATTAACTGGAATTTATCAGATTACCTACTTGAACTTTCTATTTTAATTTAGATGAAAATGTCAAGTGAAAACTATGGTATTTATTCACAGAAAACCACCAGAAAAATCAATTTCAACTTCAGTCTAATAGCATTCGTTTACTTTATTCATACTAGTGCCTTTTTGCTCATGAGCTTCATGACTTTTTTCTATTCTGCCACACCATAAAGTTTAAAGCTGGCTGAGAAGTCGGTTGCATTGAATTTTATTTATTTTTACAAAAAAATTCCTCAAAAAAATTAGCACAGCAGTGACTAAATATTCCCAATTACAATCGTTATTTTAATTTAAAATTCAGGTTTGTCATAACGTATGGTATACACTTGCTGATTATGATACGAAATACTGATAAGCTAGGTAAGTATCATTTAAACGTCGAAAATATCCTTGGAACCAGTGACGGTATTAAGAATCGCTTAAAAAGAATGCGTTAATCCAGTTCGAAGTACCGGAGGTCAAGATATGGCAGATAACATACATACATAAGTACATACCTAAAAACGTTCTCATGCATAGACCGAGTAATACCATTATTGCATTCCCAAGCTGTTTACCGAATAATATGTTAAACATACGATGTTAGTCCTTGACTAAAGCCCAAACTGTGTGATAAGAGCTAGAAATTTACTGATAAGTCCCTCATTTAATGCACACAATCACATAACCGTCAGCCGGGAATCTAAACTGGCGGTATTATTTGTAGAGGCTTTTTAAATAGATAGATAAAAGTGGTGACATTTAGAAGGAGATCCAGGTCATTAAGGAATCGGTTGGATTTTTAACTTAACACCAAATTCCAAATTTTCATTAGGTTACCTTAATTAAGAAAACGTGTAATTTAATCTAAATGGAGTGGTAAATTCCGATCATGTGAACTATTTCTAAGACCACTTTGGCCCATAATTTAGATAAAGTGACTACACAATCTAATAGTTTATTTGCTAGTCATTAACGACGATTTACAAAATGGAATCGGCACATTGCTCGTTAATCTGGATTAATAAAGTAGTTAAATTATCCGTCTTGTAGCCTTCATACCTTTATATGGCCGTACATGCAATTAAAACTATTTGCTAACTCGAGATTGAGATATTGGAGACCAGCATCCATAACTATCCGTTAATTTCTGAAAGATTTAAGATTATTTTTAATCAGAGCATTTAACGTTCGTAAATTCGACCAAATGATTAGGTAATTGGAAGCTTTTCGAACAGAACATGTATCATTTACTGATTATTACATAATTATTATCCACGTGAATGATTGCAGATTGCATCGTTTTATTCAACAACAGTTAAATATTAGAACGTTTGCAGTCCATAGAGCCTTGTTAAGTAAATTGAGATTAATACACCTGCTTGAACTGATAACAGATAAAGTGTTTTTGAAACTATCAAGTTCTGAATATGGGATAAGTTGGGTTCAAAGTCCGACCTGCGCGTTGCACAAAAGCGTTTAATGAAAATGGATGTGAGGCCTTGATAAGAAATGTTATAATAATAGCTTACATTCTTCTACCTAAAGACCCTAAAAATCTTTATTTGATTCATAGCTTGAACCGATTTTTTGTGATAGTTTTCCTTGAGGAATCAAACCCAAATTGACACGCAATCTGACAAAAAATTGGTTCGTTGTTCAATCAGACAGGCAAACGCTATTTTCAATTATGGGGAATTTGAATTGAACATAGGTAGGTAATTTACTAATTAAATAAGTGGACGTTTCTCTAGTATTCTAAAATAGAGTAACCGAACAGGAGATTTAGTTTAAATTAACGATTAGATAACGAAAAGTTAAAGTGCATCGCCACAACGTGGCAAGCTAAATATCAAGTTAATCCATCGTTTACTTTTAATCGAGTGTAAATTATAGTCAAACGAAACTGTGTTAACGGTCGTTGAAAAATGTCATTGACCGGAAGGAAGTTGGAGTTTAGTAAATCCGTTTTCTGAGGTCTATGCTATACTTGGAGGCAGCTCTTAGAGGAGCCAAACATTGTTCACTTATGGGGTGATACAAAATTGTGGTCGTTTCTTTTAAGGGGGTCTTGGCGAGTATGAGCAAAATGTAAAAAAAATCGAGTTTTGGAAGAAATTTCTCTCGCTCGAAGAAATTAGATCTTGAAGATGCAATATTAGCTTTGCTACTGAGCTATATTAAAATTAGTTTAATGGTAATTTGGAAGAATGAAACTAAGTACATGTCAACGCTGGTGTATTTGCGGTTAGTACTTAAATTGTGCTCTTCAAAACTTCTAGTGTGCAACACTGTTTCTTTAGGAGATTTGACGCGACATAAATTAAATCGTCTTGATTATGTGGGACCAGTACTTATATTGTTTATTTGAAGCAAATTAATTTTACTCAGAAGGCGAAAATAACGCGATTAAACTTCTGCTTGCTGAAATCATAGTAGTGCGATAAAAATCATGTCATGGATCTAGGCAATGAAATACAGGTAATTCTATCATAGCATCATTGTTTTACGGATTGTTGATAAGAAAAACGTTATTTGCAGACAGGAATCAAATAAATTGTTGCTAGTTTATGATCATATTTTTTTGCAAATATATTAGTTTTTGGTGAAAAATATGTATTTTTCCTGTACTCATCCAAATATCCCCGAAAAGCGCTGACAAGAGTGACCGATTTAAATTAATTTCACTTAGGCAATTATGATTCAGTTCAAGTCAATTAATTACAGAAAAAAATTAGCTTGAAAATGAAAAGCTGATAGTTAAATTCTGTGGTTCCGGATGAACTTTGCAGAAGAAGCCTTGTGAACAAGAATGATTTCAAAACTTTTTGGCGGAAGATGTAAAGTTGACAAAATAGAAATTACAGGTAATGAACTTTTCAAATGAAACATCTACTACGGATTGCATCCTGACTAATTGCTCTAGAAATTGTCCAATCCTGAAATATTTAAATGGATAGTCAATCCCATGAATTTTTCGTTAATAAACAATGCATATCTACTCTGATTACAAAATAGATTAAGCACTCTCTTGATCCTTCTCAAGCTTCAGACAATACTTTCAATGTGCAAATTTGCCCGATCGAAATATCAGCCTTACGAATCATAATTATCCAATCAAATACCTGAAATGATACGACTGTGATGTTGAATATAAATACAACCTGTCCTCCTATCTGAACAATGCAATCGTCTATAATACCACAAGCCTATTAGTATCCCATTACAAATCTCTCTGTTAAATTCAATGGAATACCTGCTAAATAGGACTTCAAAGATATGTCAATAAAGCGACATTTAGCCCAGATTTGGAGTGCTTTTCAATAGATCGGTAGTGAGCCAATATTATTGAAAATCTAGGTAGAATTGACGGGAATAATGGCTTGGGTGTAGTAAGGTCTATTGACTGTATAGCACGGAATAAAGTGGCTGAAAGAATTCGGATTTTCAAAAGAGACACACCCGTGTTGCGTTGTGCAATATAATGGGATGTGGTGGGAACAGGGGTTTTATGCTTTTGGGTCATTGTTGTGCCTCATTCTGATGGGTTTTATCGACTATTATTATAAATTGGGATTGATTTCTATTCAAACCACTAGTCATTACTCCGTATGGCTCCAGCAAATATATCCATCCACTCGGCCTCTATAATTTCCTTGTGTATTAGTTTAATAAATAAGAGATGCGTGTAGTGAGCCTCGGTTAATTAACCCTACAAGGTAACTTCAGACCGATCATTATAAACCTGTTGTGCACTCCATTTCCAATTACATGTTCAAAAATTATCATAGCAATCAAATTACTTTAAAAATAGCCCATAAACTTATTCAACAGGTTTTATTGAATATAGCAACCATTAAATTAGCCGTGTGGTTAATTGCCTCAATAGAGCCAGTTTATTGATCAACTGTGTGTTTACAGGAAGTCGAGAGCTAGAATTACATGCGTTGCCTACAACTTAGTGTCATAATGATTAGGGAGAAATGATAAACTCCTCGGCTCCTGAAGGATAGAACGAATGCAAGCTAAGTTGCAAGTTTTGCTGCCTTTCCTGAGTCGTAAATTCGAAAAGCTACTAATTGCAACTTTAATAATCAATTATTAATTCTAAAACCCCTATGGGTGTAATTTATTTATTGTTGTTTCCGCTCAGATCAGCTTTTAGTGCAACAAAGCGCCGTTAACAAGTTAAGTAAGTTTGCCGCAAATAAATCGCCAACAGTCCGCTCCGTTGAATTGCCTGAGAAACCTTTGATTATTTCACATTCTGACATGTTGAAAAAACACTTCCCATGTTGTTGAAAACATTATCTTTAAATATATTGCAGATCTGATTCTGTGAAATATTGCAGCTCATTTCGACATACCTACAAGTGCACAGTAATGATGATTAGAACAAACCAAAAGCACAATTGAGAATTAGTGAGTAAAATAGAAAATTTTATTGAGCAAGCCCAACTAAACTGCTCACCAAAATCAACGTTACACTGACAAATTTGGACTAGCTTTGGAACTGGATAAATTCTGACTTCTGAGAGCGAATTGGTTTCGGTTTGAAACCTTATTTAGTGCAATTCTTTTTCGTGCGTGTTTTAGCAATAAAAAGGTGCTCTGGAAAAAGGTTCCATGGTGGCAAATAAAACAGTGCAAAATTACTAAAAGTTCCACATGCTCTCAGTGGGACAAAAACGTAATTTTTTTTCATTCTCACACCACATGCATCAAGATAAACCCCAAATATTGACAAAAGTTTTTCACCCATTTCGTTTATTTACAGAGTGATCTTTTTGGCCCAGCAGTTTTCTCTTAAACCGATTTCCAAAATCTGGGACTCACATTGAAGTCGAAACTTCACAGTATAATGGAGATAAAAGTTCAATATGACGGTTACCTACATGACTGAACGAAATTTTTGAAAGCAAACTTTGCTTCGTTGAAAATCTTCCGGAATCACAAATTTTGGCGGAAATTCTTTTTGGGTCATTTTTAATGCAACCGTAAGTATATGCATGAAGGATTTTCGTCTTTTATGTTGTCTATAAAGTTTAAGCTTCCAGAACAAGACCAAGAGCAGAAAAAGTTATCAATGCAAGACCAAAAATGTGCAATTTTTCATTTGCCACTTTGTAGAAAATCTGTCTGATGCTTAATTTTTATTAAAATATTAACTCACAGGAAACAAATGGGACCAAATAAGACGTCAAACAGCAACCAAATCGCTTGAAGCAATTAGAATTCATCCAACTCCAAGATTGGGGCTATTTGGTTGTAACGTTCATTTTGTTGAGCAACTTATTTACATTGAATAGAATATGGAATTATTTTTTAGCTTCCATCCAAGGATATTAAAAATTATTGCGTTAATCCTATGAATATTCTCGGCCAGGGAATTTCTGCTCAAGTTGAATTCTAGCAGATCTCTTGTTCTTCCACTTCAATGGTTTTGAATTGAAATAATGAAATTTGCTAAAAAAACGTTTTATCTTAATCATGCAGATAAATAGTTTTAGGTCTTTTATTGAATAATGTATAAAACAACGAAATATACTTAAAGCAGGCAAAATATTTCGTAAAATTGCAAGGGTTTTGAAATCCTGTTTGTCTGCGGTATTTTCAATGACATTATTTGCTATTCAAAAAAATTCTCAACAAAATAATCAAGGCGCCCAGTAGCCAGAAGATTTAAGTTCAAGCTTCTCTAAATGCACGCTTTTTGTAAGCAGCATGCCCAAAAGTTTCGGCCTTTTGGGTACATAGAAAAGTTTGCATCTAACCGCAGTGTCACGGTTTTAAATGAACCGGAAAGGAAATTGAAATTTTTCTCATTTTTCCACATCTTATGAAATCACTAAATTAAGAAAACTTGTTAATACAAACTCGAAATATCATGAAACTGTAAAGATCTTTACATCCTGCTGTTCAGACAACTTAAATCAACTAAGTAGATGTGCGGGCATCTTAACTTGTGAACAAAATATTAACTAAATGACCTTATCCGAAGACATTGGTGCACGCAAGCCTTGAAGATATAACCGTCATCGCGGACACAGGCAATCATCATCAATAAATTGATGACTCTCATGACCTATCTGGATAAATTATAGTAGGTGACTGCAAACGGTTTTACTGATTATGGAAGTTAACTGGCGTTTCGAGTGTGTTAGAATTTCGATTTTAATTCGCAATCTCGATAAATACCTATAGAATATACAAATCGAATTATCCGTTCTTCTTTCTCCTCTTTTTTGTGTTCTTTTCGATCGGTTGTATTTTCTTTTAATGACAAATTATACACGTGCACATAGTAAAACTGTACTTTTTTCTGGAACATGTGAGTGAAATTCTAAAAATACCCGTTAGAGTTTTGCATTTATTGCTTTATTTCCAAGTTATCATAATTGGCCAAGGAAGTGCTACTCTCAAGCGTACGTAGGATTTGATGCTTTCCCAGGATAAGTTGGCATTTTCGTTTTCATTGCATGAGATTAGGAATATTTTACGTGGCAAAAGTTAACAAACTAATCAGTGTGTAATTTGTGTAATCAAATCATTGTGCATGCAACTTTACCTTGTCCTTTCTTACGTGTTTTATATGGGTTGATACAACAAAAAAAAATTAAGGCAAAAACTAACTCCCCAATTTCGTCGTATTGTAAGATAGGTAAGGGACTAAAGATGTTCAAAAAACGCAGTCGGATAAAAGAGTACTTCAGGTCTGTATTTATAGAAGAGAACAAACTGAAGACTTTAAATCTTATATAATGTAATCGTCGATTTTACTCGGCAACATTTGTGTCTGCAAACTAGATCTAATTGGTCATTTTGTTGTGAGCGTTGGTATCAGTTTCTTCGCATCTGACATGCACCTCACATTCACACAAATGTCCACGTTTGGGTTTTCATGTTTCAGTGCAGGCTCTAGTAAATTACGGTAGTTGCAAAGCCTTTTTAACGTCGATATGAATACGACCGAAAACGAGGAAAAGCTAGCAGTCAAAGGAATTGTGCCAGCCACTTTTTGGTTACTTGAGGAAAAAAATTTAAAAAAATGGACCCAAATGCGGAAAAACAAGCAAATCGAAACAATTTTGTACAACCGAAATCATCTAGTCAATCATTGAGTTATCAATTTATTACATGCTACCTACTGTTTCCACAACACTTACATGCTTTCAATGTATATTATCACTCACAGCTACTTTTTTCGCATCCTGTACATATAAAAAGAATGTTGAATCAAATCATGGGTATACTTAGGTGGGACTTAAATTTATAGCAGAATTTTCAAACCGCTTGCAAAGTATTAAAAAAAAGCTCGATCAAAATGTGTTAGCTACACGCTCACTACTTGTGGGTTTCTCCTTCCGAGCTATGAAAATAATTACTATGTTAAGATCGATTTTCGCTCGGTTTTTCATCCGAAAGAATGCTGTAAGAATCGAAAACCTAAAAATTACGAAATTTTTCCGCTTCCGAACTACTTTTCAAACTGATTTCATTAATATGTATTTACAATCACACTCTTTGATTATTTTTCTTATGCCCTTGCAACAAGCTTCTGTCCGAAGAAACGCATGTGTTACCCCCAAGCCAAGCTTTCCAGCATTGAAGTTTTTAAATCCCATTCAAAATTCTTCCGTAATATAAAAATGGCATACTGGATGCTTGTAGTGAGCATACAAGATGCATGTTAAACTAATGTACGTCCATTCATCTGGTGTACTTAGGAAGACATGCTGTAGCCATATTAGCAGACAGACACATGTTGCAACAATTATACATTTAACAAGCAATAGAAGATTGAAGCAATTTAATTTTAAAAGTTCGACATTCAATCAACAATCACAGTTTCGAGTTGATTACGAAATTGTCAAAGCAAAATATAAGCAAGAAATGCTGAAAGCTCGAATCTTATATCAATATAATGTTTATTCATATATGAGAAATATTGCGATAGTGCCAACTTCAACAGCTCTTATGTATTCGACGAAGTCGCACCTCATGAAAAAAGCTGCTGGCCAATTGCTCGAATAGCATACTTTGTGATTGTTGTCAGATGACTAAAAATTGGATGGTCATATGGCAGGTTAGAGGTTTAATTCCTCATCGAATGAACCTGAAGATTCCCAAAAAAACTTGTATTTCCAAGCCAAGCAGTTGTTGCATGCAAATCTACAACTACCAAACCAATACTTACAAGTGGCATTTGCTGCTCCAGAGATCACTTTGGCGACAAACTGGTCAGAGTAACAAAAATGTAAAAACCGTTCACTGAGATCCATCGATTCACAAAAAAAACACACGCACTAATCCGTCGTTATGTGGAAATCGACAGTGTGAGATTTCGTTTTTCAGTTCAGTCTTGATGAGCACATGGGACTTGCTACCAACTGATGCCCACTTGATCGATGAAGACATGTCAGAACGAAACTGTAGCTGCAACTGAGAACCGACTTGGTGGAGCGAATTCATCGTAGTTGGCGGCGGCAGTTCGGACCTGCGTGTTCCGCCAACTTGCGTGTGTGGAGTGGGGCGGCGCGGCAGGCCGGGGGCAGAACTGTAAGGAAACGAACAACGGTATATTAGAAAACGGTTTGTCGTAGGGGAAAATATCTTGAAGAGTTTTGTGTAGTGGTCGACGCATGGTAAGGATGACGTACGTGTGCGTGTCCTGGACAGAAAACCCTCCCCCCAAACGATTTCGTTTGTTATCTCGAGGGGTGGGTTTTCCACTAAATTCGCACTTTTCTTCGGAAACCATTCAACACCAACATATCACACAGCTGCCATACAGCTCATCGCAAGCAATGTCAAAACCTACATTTGAAGTTTTGCAACCTTCTGGAGGAGATTTGGAAGCTACAGACAACTTTTACATTTGTCAGGTTCAGATTTAGGTTCTACCTGTTGCATTTCGCTGACAATGCTGCATCGCCTACAGCTTGACTGCTAGCTAATTTTCGTCACAGTTTAGATCAGAACAGGGGGGGTTATTTTACTCCCTCGGTTTTGGTCATTACCCAACATCTTAAGAGGGAAAGGTCGATTAGCTTCTATTATTTAGATCCGGAAGCTTCATTTACTCTCTATGATCCACCCGTTAACTGACTAAGATTTTTAAATGAAGTTCTGCAGTCCATGTGCGAGGTACTTAATATGTGAATATGTGGTTCTTGCGCCCAGTAAAAACGCACAGGAATTGAATAATAAAGCGTAGATTACTCGTGCTTCTGGTAACAGAAAAAATGCAGAGTTTTTGGTATCAAACTTGGAAGTTTATAACTCGGTTTCAGAATCTAGTTCGGTTAACCGCTTGGTCTTTCCACGATCTTTCACAACTTTGAACAGTACGGCGAATTTTCGACAATGGTTCCCTATTCTGATAACGGCTGCCCACAAAACTATTATGCATTCAAATGTTATCCAGTTGTAGGTACCTACTCTGAGGTTAACTAAACATATTAACTGCGTCTAAAGAGAAATTCGTTTGGTTCAATAATTATTCGAATTAGTATCGCCTTTTCGAGTCGGGAAATTGACATCAAACCGAGTCAGAATCTAACGATCTAATTTGCTAATTGAAAATCAGGAACATTAAATCTAACAGCTAATGGCGCCAAGAGAAATTATAAATTGTATCGGCTCCATTTTTAGTACTGAAATCGATAGCAATTGAGACCTAAATCCAACCGTTTACTCATTTAAATCGAATTATTTGTTGAAAAGAAATCACACGTGGAACGAAAATTTGCCTATTTCACGGTTTTCATCATCAATCGTGCCAATTAGTAGCTTTAATGGCGATAACACGATAAAACCGCAACCAGTTTGCAATAAAAAAACGTCTTACGAATTTACATAATCACTCAAGTAAACAAAATTGTAAATCCAATGACAAAAAAGCCGATCCGGAAAATGCGGACCGTTACAATCGGTAAGCAAAAGGATGCCCAAAATCAGCAAGAAACCAGTTTTAGAAAAGCGGCTTAAGCGACTGATTTGGACATCATTCATACTGCAACGGTTACATACAGATTTTATAGTATTGTAGTGACGATGATGACCATTTAAAAAAAAACGAATGGAAGCCAGAAACATCAAGCAAAAATTGGAACACTATGAACTACTTTAGTGAGCCAGAAGCTTTGCCACCTCTACAAAAATTATTAATTTAAAAGTTTCTTCAATGAACAATAGGCTATTTTTCCACGACTCTACAAAACGTATTCAAAAATTTCGTCATAGGAATGTCGGTCTCTCTGTTCCTCATTTGCATACATATGGGGACAATGACACTACATCATATACCCACCATGTGTACCACCATAGTACAGCTGTCTTTTGTTAGCACATAAGTTCAGAGGGACAGCGTCTTTTTTCAGCTTGTAGAGGACATTTAGTGGTGACTGTCATATGCGTGGAAGCCATCTTTAACAGTTTGTCGCTGCTTCGTGTTATGTTTGACGGCGAGCTGCATAAATTAACAGGCGGACAACGTTTGTTTAAGAGCATTATCGAAGGTTTAACACATCGTCCAGAACTTCTTCAATTGAATGAAATCTTGAAGAAATTTCCTTGCTAAGTTTAGCTCACGAGCTTCAAGTCATGAAGCAATAATTTCAGTTCGATTTTGAAAATATTGAGCAAAACTAATTGCTTGGTTTAGTGAGATAGAACGCAGAACTTCGTTTAATCATACAGTTCACTCACATGAATACATACTTGACTTCAATGGGGAGCTTATGTACATACCTACCTACTTTTATCATGTAGGTAATACATGTAATTCCTATTATGGGTTATATCATCTCGAACGCAATGCTGGGTTGATCAATTTATGAATTTTTTGGTTGAACATTTTATTTTTATGATAAATTGAGAAACTTTGAACGAGTTTGGTGATAGGTAAAGATACTACACCCTAAGCGTTGGAAATTGACAAATTAATACAACTCTTAACCATGTTGTTCTTTGAAAATGGTGTGATATGTTGCGTATGAAAGTCCTTGAGCAGGATTAACTCGCATTGTAATTTTTGATATTTACTGCTCGTTTGGTCAAAACCTTCAAGTCGATTACATTTAGAGCGTTTAAACCCAATTAGGTGTGCTATATCATGCATGTCTTATTCCAGATAATATGTATAATTTGAGCAATTCCGCGCAATATTTCAATGAAAAAGCAATTGTAGGAAATTTATCTCATACATCTGATAACGTTAACCATCTGCTTACCCGGAACTATTAAAACCCAAGTTAGAGATATAATTAGGACGGATGTTACTAACGACGACCAATAAATGTTAGGCTTTGGGAAATGAATCGGTGTAGACTAATGGTGATAATAACGATAATTTTTTCTCCAAATGTGCGTCAACCACAGGCTCAACCGAGCCAAAATGCATGGATATCCTAATAAAAAAATTAAAGCATTGCAAGAACACAAATATTGTTTTCTCGCCATATAATTGTTTAAACTATTAATTTTTGGTCACTCTCAACGCCGGTCTCGGGGTCTTTAGATGCAATCCGCTTACAAGTTAAACCCCATGAAATCAAATCAGCGAAAATTTGAGATTAATTAGTCACAATTATTACTTGTTGGTTTATTCGTAAGTTATCAGATTCACCACAACATGTCACATTGGGTCAAATGCTTCAGATATGAAGGTGTCATATATTGAAGCTTCAAGGTGTCAAACAAACATTTATTTGATAGCATAAAAAAGCTTCATAGTATAACGTATGCGGGTGTTTATATGCACGCAGTACAGCTAGGGTGAATATTATGAATATTATATGGTGCTTAGTGAACTTTGTTTGTTTCAGTTATTCTGACTAATCAAACGGCTCAAAATTCCTCTTTCTTAGCGGTTATCCACATGCCCACTGCACTTTGCATATCATGCTCCCAAAGCGGACAAACTTCCACAAAATAATCCAAATAAAACAAATTACCTTTGAGAGTTGAGAGTTGGCGGCGTGTTCTTTCGACGAACCACCAAGCACACCTGGCCAAAAACTAATGTCAATAATAACCGACTTGGTAACGTCATTCCAACGAAACTAGTGAAATAGACCACGATTCGACCAGCAACCACAACTTGATAATAGTGAACCGTTTTGCTAACGTCCACTTCCGCAAAACTCCCACTTTCTTTCCCCGTTAGTTCTTGACACGCCTAATGATAGACACAATGAGTTATATGCCCCGCCTTATCGAGGGGAATCATAGCTACGTGGTGGGGATAGAGCGTCCGCTTGTTTCTAGGCGGTAAACGGTGGTGGCGCCATCGGGTAAAATGTGACTGAAACTGCCGCCGGATGAGCCATGTGGCAAAATGCACGTTCTGAGCGGTTGGAGACTCAGCTAAGCGCCACGTGCTGCTTTGTGGCGGTCTCTGACGGAGATTGTCGGCATTTGTGAGGGGTGATATCGATCTGAAATAAGTCGGGTCGAATTATTGATTGTATATGGAGGTGATTTGAGAAGTTGCCATTAGACTATATGGAAAATGTGCTGTACATCAGGTATTAAAACTTGGGTTAGGGGCAATTAGAACTTAATTATTCAAAATAAGACCGTTTATATGTGCAGCACTCTAATGTTTCTGCACCGATTAAGACTTTCAAAAATTGATGTTTATTTTTAACGCTGTTTAATGCCTATTTGCTCAATTAATGTTTTAGTTTCAAGTATTTTGAGGAAAACTGTCCTTATTATTATATGCGCTACTATTCTTTTTTGTTATGTCAGGTAAACTCTACATCAGCGAGTTTGTTATTAATGCGTGTTTTCGTTATTAAGATAGAATAAAAGCGAAATGGACACAAAAATAAAATTGAACATAAGAGACAAAAGGCAAATACTATAAGGTTTAGTAGTAATTTAAAAACATTATCCACCGGCAACACTAAAAGAAGTAAAACTCAGAAATTAATCTTTGGTATCCTAAAGCTAAAGAAATGCAATCATAAATAAGATCACTCACCAAGAATTTAGTGTGTTTTTTTAATCTGTCAGTGCGTCTCTCTAAGATAACAAAGAATAGAGAGAGTTTTACTTCTTTGAGTGTTAATTGTGGTTTATGCTTTTCAATAACTACTAAATATTAGTGCGCTTATCGCTCATATTTGTACCTATTTATTTTCGTGCCGGTTTTCCTTGTATTTTATTTTTAATAGCAAAACACTTTCTTCTTAAGAATGAAACCATTCTGTTTCCTGTTTAGAGCCCTGAAGATTGCAAAAAATATAGCGGTGGCCCAAGTAAAATCATGTTTTTTCCTTTGCCGCTATTTGAATGAAAATCCCAGTAGTGCCACACAACATTGTCACAAATGTCAAGTACCTATATTTTAAAAAAATTAAAATTTTTTTTTTTACATTTCGAAATTTAATTGTATCAATTGGTAGATAATCAAGACATGTTTGTCATACACTTCAGGAGTCATTTGTTTCCCAAATTTACTTGTATTTTCCCTAGTTTAATCTGTGTTTCATTTATTATTTTCAATAATTGTGCAAAGTGTTCCTTATAAATTTGATACTGCTATAAAATGTTAAGAAAATTTTAACTTTAACGTTGAGAATATATACCTATTATAGATTCTACTCTATTCTGTTCTATAGAAAACATCTAGATAATTGTCGGGTTAGCAACAAACTATTAATTTCAACCGGAACAGTTCAAGTGTTTGAAGTATCAAATAAGGAGTGGAAATAAAATAAAAATAGAACAAAAGAAAAATAATTGAATTGGGCTACTGAATAAATTTGCAATAAACTAAAAAAAATATGAAATTTCAGTCAATAAAAGACGAGCAAAGCAAAAATTGCCGTAGCAATAACAAAAATTGGCATACATTTATTGAGGTTTAAGATTTGATATCTCCGAGACCTTGAGTCATATCTACACGATTTTAGATCTCCAAAGCGGAATAATGAAGGAATAAGAATGAGATAAATAATTATAAAACTCAAAGCAATTTTAGTCACTCGAGATTAAAATAACTGTTTGCTGATGAAAACTAAATAGCAATCATGATGTAGAAAAAATACGTTTCAATTATTGTTATGTTGATATTTAATACGGACAGTAAAATTGAATACCTATCAGAACTGTAAAGTGTTTTGTTATTAAAATTGGAATTATTAATATGTCGCATTGAAAACTCATCGAAAAGTGACATGCTCATTTAATTAAAACTACTTATACAATAGCAATAGTTGATCTTAATAAATTCGTATGAAATTAATTAATTTTTCTGATCTGACGTCAACCCATAATAAAAAATCGAATACTAAGGACATGACAATTCTATTCAGCTACAGTCAAGATATGCACAACAATAAAAACATACAAATCTGTAACATATAAATATAGTGTGAAGTTTAGACGTAAGTGGATGTATAACAATTAATGAGCGGGCACAAATAAGTTGAAATGAAGGAAGTTAATAGATAAACAAATTTTTTTTCGTAATAAGAAAGTGTTTAATCCAAGTCGCAATGCAGATCCCAGCACAATCTCCCGAAAAAGAAGAAATAATTTTCTTTTTGAATCACTGTGATTTATTATTTAATGTCTGCCTTTATAAATAAATGATATGGAAGTATAATCAAAAAATAAATTCCAAAATAATTTTTTTACAACCTCGAAACTATTCAGGGAGTAGGTAATTCAAACCTGATCTAGATGAATGCGAAATAAACTATTTATTGGAAACAATGACAAAAGTAGAGTAGTTTCAGCTAAACCACAGTGTCCACAGTTGAGATCTGAAGACGAGAAATTTAAAAAATTAGAAGGAAAACGGATTCAAAATTGAACTGCACACAGCTCGGGGATTTATTAGATGCTTAACTTCACGGGAGCAAAATCTTTCAGCTTTGTTCCATTATATTATACCATAAACAAATATAAGTGAGGCTTCGGAGAATATCAGTGACTACATCAGCTTTGTAGGTAAAAAAATGAAGGATCGATTCAAGTATTACCATTTTCAAACATTTCCATACAAATCTATGTGGTAAAATCGCCCACCAATGGGCAGCTGTAGGGGTAACCGAAAGGTGCACAGGTCAACAACAAAAAAAACTCACTCACCCGATCGCTCACCGCATATGCTAATTTTAACGGAAATTCTCCGAAATCGGTTTTTAACTCTTGAAACGTTTCGCTTAGAAACCGCAAGCAGTTTTGAAACGCGAGCACGAAACCTAACCGATTAGGAACTGTTTTTGACCGCAGAATTTTTGAGAGTGAATTTCTCCATTCGCCCATCAGGCATCCAACCTGTTCCACCAAAAAAGGAAAACAAACTTCAGGACGGATAAAATAGCAGGTTGAGAACCCTTCTTGAATTTTTCGGTTTTGGGTTTCAGTCAATTCGACCAAGGCTGATCGATTATGGTAGACAATGAGCTTCGAACAGGAATGTGTCCAGACATTTAAGGTTTGTCTCAAGCTTTTTGGGCAATGACGCAATAACTGTAGTTCTGTTTCTATTACTTCATCAATTTGCAGAAGTATGGAGCAATATAAAATTATTGATTGGATTTCTTGGCGGGTGTTGGCAGATTCTGCGATTTTTTCTAAATTATCATGTAATTTAGTGAAACAATTTCTACTTTTGTGTGTGTTATTTTCAGGTACCCAAAATACCTAAGCATCATTGTTAGGGCGAACAACGGTTGATTTTGATCATATACCGCTTAGATCTTGGATGAGTTCTCATTTTTCTCTTCTAATTTCTTCATTATTTAACTGCCGATTTACCACCACGAAAGTAACACACTAACGCTCACAATTAACGCCAAGTACTTTACAATTGAGGAATATTATTAATGAAACTAACGGAAGTGATTTTCCAAATTTATTGTTTTTATTCTGCAAATTTAACCTCAGCTTGGAACCTCAGCAAATTTGAAAATCTTTCGAATTAATACACGTCATAAATTCAATGGCGTCACTCTCAAACAGCTTGAGACAGGGTCTAGTGCATTTGATGCTTTCAAAAAAATATTGAAAAGCAATAAATTTTGAATAATGAATTTAGTTGCACTTGATTGTCCCATGTTACCTTTAAATTTCACATCTCTCTCAATCATTTGCAAAGAACTATTTAAAGTATTATTTCCGTCAGCCATTGGTCGAATATTCTAAACAGGTGAATTTTGTATGGAAATTTCTAAGCTCTAATCACTTGGTGTGTTACGATCTTATTCTTTTGAGAAAAAAAATCATGATCAGTTTACCATCACCTTTTCTGAGAGCCTGTTTGGGTCAAATATCTCATTTTTGAAGGATTTAATCGGCGACCGAGCAGTAATTTAGACGGATTCTTTGACGGAGCAGGTAAAACTTGCTTTGAAATGACGTCAGTGCTTTCAGATAACTGAATTCTAGTGGAATTCCCAATCAAAAACAAATCAGTCATTGATATTGTGCAATCGATTTATAACTTGATCAGTTTAGAAAAACCCTCAGTTTTTAGCAGCTGAAAAATTTGCTCTTTGCAAGAAATGAGGCGCGTAAAACAGGAGCAAAGCAAAACTGTCTGAGTAGCTCAGACAGAAAAAAGTATACGTTATTATAGGCTCATGTTATTTGAGTAATTTGGATCTTTAACCGTCTAATTATTAAACAAAACAACAAGCAATATACTTAAGCGCAAAAATACCGATACCGTATCCTTAGGAGAACAACAACTTTAACAACTTAATTGAGCAGCAAAATTAGCAAAGCTAGAACTTGTGAAAAAATGTTGTTCGCATAACAAAAAATTTTCCTTGCAAATTAAAAAATTAAGTAAATTGTGAGTAAATCCGCATAAACCCGTCATACAAAAATGTATACCTCGCGAATGTCTCAAGATAAGCAGACGACTAAAAATCTGAATTATGAACTCGGAAGATCTGAAGTAATAACATCCTATACTTCTTTCTCTCTGTGCTACTCAATGTTGCCCGAAGAAAGATTTAAACTTTGACAAAGAAAACATGGCAGTATTTTAGCACTTTTAGTATCAATTACAAATTTTATGGTTATATATTAATTGTAAATTAGTATGTTGGTTAGCAAATGGTCATTAATAATTAATTTAGAAAAATGTGCATATTGACTGGTAGAGGAGACACTTTTCAGAGGCCATGATAATCACCTGAACTCTTAGGAAAATATACAAAGTCAAAGGAGCAAACAAACCTGCATGAAATAAAAAAATGAAAACGTTGATACACTGAAATCATTGTCAATTTACTGACAACGAGCAATTTCTAGCAAACATTTAGTAGATTTTGTAATGTGTAAAAATTGGCACTGTAAATTCCCATTTTGGAATCTAAATTACCTTTAAAAAAAAACATATTGCCAATATTTCCCTTTTGATACTGTCTGTTTTAATCTACAATATTTAATTAAATATTTTAATAA